CGTCATTCTTATATTTTTTTTCAGTTCACTGAAAGTTTGAAGACTGAATGTGTATTTTAAGTACTGATTCCTACTTTCTCTCTCTAGAAGCATTAAATGCAACGTTCATAATTTCACTGTACATTTTCTCCAATGTCATATCAGAAAAGCAATAAAAATTGACTATATTTTCTCACATAATACCTATTGGGCTCCCTCTGGTGTTAGCTATGATTATAATTAGCTTTATGGTACTCATAGATGATCACATTTCAAGTTAATGAGAAATTTGTTCTTTTTCAAGAAACAGTTAAAAAAATTCAATTGGCTGTCATTGACTAAATCATAAAATCGATTTGTTCAGATTTTGCAAATATTCTATTAAGGACCTAATATAACTTAAGTTTTATAATGTTAGAAAACAACTAATTTGAATTTGTTACTTTAATTTATTAAATAACCCAGGAAGGCATTTCATAAAATGAGACTAATTGGCAAAACAAAAATATATAATCACACGCCACATAACATTTTGGCCAATACTGGACTTTATATATTTTGGTAGTCTCTTAAGATCATAATACCACCTTTTTATTGTACCTTTTCTATGTTTATGTATGTTTAGATGCCCAAAAACTTACCATTTGTTATAGCTGCCTATAGTATTCAGTAAAGTCACATGCTATACAGATTTGTAGTCTAGAATCAATAGGCCATACCCTTAGCCTAGGTGTGTAGCAGGCTCTACCATCTAAACATGTGTAAGTACAATCCAGGATGTTCACACAACTACAAACTCATCTAATGTTGCATTTCTCAGAGTGACATGTGGTGTCCATACATATAGAAATGTTCAGTCTCACTGTGAAGAAGAGAAATCCAAATTACAATATAATATGATAGCACTTTGCCCTACCAATTAAGCAAATTTTTATTTAAATAACACCAAATTCTGTGAAGGCAAAGTAAAACAGATATATTTTCATGCTTTGCTGATGGCCTTCTGTAATCATCTGGAAGAGAAATTTTAAAATGTGCAGAAAAACCCATAACATTTTGAAACACTTTGACTCAATCATTCTATATCTAGGAGTGATTTAAGTCAATGCTTCAGAAGGAAGGACAGCTATTTACACCCAGATATTTATTATAGCATTAACTGTAGTAATCAAATGCTGGAAGCAGACTAAATAGTCAACAATGGAAGAATAGTATGCTTAACTAAATGTGTGGTACATCTACTCCACTATAGTGGTTAGTGTTGGCTTTAGAGTCAGCATGCCTGGTTGAAACTGGCTCCAAAGCTACTCTATTACCTCAAAGAAGTTTAATCACACCCATTTTATAGATAAAGAGATTAAAGTTTGCCATGTTCTTCCTTTCTTTCATGATTTTCTGCTTTCCACTGGACTCACTGATTTTTTTTATTATTATCTCTTTTTGTTACTTTAATTTTATTACTCCAGTGGTTAGATTTGTCATCATAAAATATATATCAGACTTAAGAAAATGTAACTTTATCAATATGTCTACCCTCATTATAAACAATGCAAGGATATAAAAATGCTTTATTTTGGTTCAGCCCCTCTCATCTTCTGTAACTATTATCTAGTGTTTTTGATTCACTGATTTTTTAAAAAATACCCTAATGCGTATTTGTAGTTGTTGTTTAAACTAATGTATTTATTTAGATAGATTTACATGTTTAAATATTTCTTTTGAAATATTCTTGTTTTTTTCCTGAATTCAATCTTCCTGTCTCAATACATTCTTTACTAGTAAGTCTTTCAGAGTGCATGTGTGAGTGGAAAAATTTCTTGGTCTTTGTCCAAAAAATTGTTTATTTCACCCTCACACAAACAAATGTTTATCTAAGCACAACAATTCAAACTGACAGTTATTCTTGCCTCAGAGCTTTGAAGATATTATTCTACTGTTCTATGACTTCTGTGGTGAATACTGAAAAATCTGTAATGTTGTAGAAGCAAAACTTTACTAGTATCCTCTTAGGGTTTTGGGGCTTGGACTGAGTATTAAGTTGCAATAGAACAGATCAATACAAGGACAAGATAAAAATCTATTGAATACAAATTTTATGTGGCACTGAATTCTTCACAAGGAAAAGAAGACTCAAAGGCACAGTTAGAGTAGAACATTTATATACTGAATTATACAAAGTGCAATACATTGTGAAAATGTGAGAAGGCAAAGGGACTCGAGTTTGGGTAGCTAGTTGTGTGCAGGAGTGACTAGGAAGATAAAGGTTAGTGTGGCAAAGTTTGTACAGTCTTCCCTTGGTGTCAATTTTCTGTTCCTTTTTTTTTTGAGTTGGAGTCACTCTGTCACCCAGACTGGAGTGCAGTGGTCGCTCCCGGGCTCCGGCGATCCTTCCGCCTCAGCCTTCCAAGTAGCCAGAATTACAGGCATGTGCTACCATGTCCAGCTGATTTTTTTGATTTATGAGGTCTCGCCAAGTTGCCCAGGCAGATCTCGAACCCGCAGGCTCAGGCAATCCACTCACCTCAGCCTCCCAAAGCACGAAATTACAGGCTGAGCCACTGAGCCCGGCTAATTTTCTGTTCTTGATGAGAAAATGAAACTTTACTTCTGGTATAGGGAGGTCACTTATCATCTCCTGCTTTTAAGAAACAAGGAAGAGTCTGAGTGTTCTTGATTCTGTGTTTTTCAAGTGTCTTTAACTCAAAATGGTCAGTATGCCAGAATGGCATATTTTGGAGTGGTGTGTTATGAATTTCAATGTGATTTATCATAATAAGTAAAAAAGGGGAACAGTAATGTGTACTTATCTCAGTTGCTGCTAAATTACACATGTCAAATGAAAACTGTTATGCTTGAGAAAGTATATTTTTCTGATTATAATCAACAATAAGATAAGAAAGTCCATATCGCCATTTGTATTTATTATCATTCCTGACTATTAGACGAAGCATTTAGACAAGAAAAATATGTATTAAAAAACAACAGGAAAAAATTATATGATCTTTCTGCCTATCTGGAACACACTAGAGAAAAAAAGTTAGGCAATAGAAATCAATAAGGAAGGTTGATATAAAACCGCAACATAAAAATCAGGAATTATTCCATCTGTAAAAATTGGTCAGTCAAAAAACATAATAAAACAAACTTTTAAAAAATATTTTCCCGCCGGACGTGGTAGCGCATGCCTGCAATTCTGGCTACTTGGAAGGCTGAGGCGGAAGGATCACTGGAGCCCAGCAAGTCGAGGCTGAGGTGGCCAGGAGGAGCCATTGCACACCAGTCTGGGTGACAGAGTGAGACTCCAACTCAAAAAAATATATATTTTCCCTAAATTACAAAATAATAAAAGAACACCTGTAGATAAACTAACCTCCATGAAACATGTGTAAAAGCTGTATAAAGGAAATTATAAACTTCTACAAGAGGTACCTAAAAGTTTTCAAAAAAATCATGAGACGTGTCACCTTAAATACGTATTCACATTTTTAATATATATCATACTACTACTCTATATGGAAATATTTAGTTCAATATAATGCCAATAGGATTGCATTTGAGCTGGGAAAAATTTATTCCATAATGCATTTGGAAGAAGAGAATGCACAGGTTCTCGCCTATAGAGTCAGGTCCCTCCTCACCTGCCTTTCCATATATACTTTGGCAAATCTGGGAAGTTAAGTTCCATCTCCTTGATAGGAGCATCTACATGTTGCTTACAATTCATTTGTTTAGACTTATTTTATATCCCTCATTGACTTATGTCAGTATTCTTTCCTGAGTTTAAAATTTCACATTTCTTGCTATGTAAATATTATCTTGCTTTGTTCAATCTATCATTGCAATTATTTTCTTCTTTAAAAAAATCTTCCCTTTTTGCCCTCTCCAATGAGTACCTTACTCAATGTTTATGTTGATTGAAGGATGACTGACCCTTTTAAAACTTGAATGTCCTTATTCAACATGTTGTAGTTTGTGTTTAGAGAACTTTATACTTTTTTCTCATGTCTGTTTCTATGTCTTATTAGGTGTAGCTCTCAAGTCTCTAGCAATGGCTTTTTTTGTTCTTAATTTTAAAGTATCCATTTTTAGGTAACCAATGAGATTTCATTCTTAGGCAAACTGTTGAATATTGTACAGCAACTTTTAATTTTGTATATGACAGTCTAAATGGTAGTGCTTTTTAATTTCTCTTGGTGCAAAAGTGTAAACAGGTGAACTGATCTATTCTGTTTTTATTAACTAAAATTATTGAAATACTTATTGCCTCAAATCCCTAACAACTTTAAAGTGTTATGATAGAAGGCTTTATCAGTTCCTAATGAGACAGACACCAGTATCTCACCATTATGCATGATATAATCTTTTTTACTTACTCTACATTTTAAGAAACAATTCTCTTATTTACAAAGTGTGTGAAGCCACAGGTCTAACTTTCTATAACCCCACACCTCCCTTTTTCAAATTAAATTTTGAAGCTACTTGTTGTCTAACTTCTTATTCCTATGTCACATATCCAAAGTTCTTAGGACCACATTGAGAAATGAATCTTAGTACTTCATGCAACCTTATTAAACTGCTTGATGTACTGTAGGATTGGCCCAAGGTAAACTGAGAGGTGAAGATTACACTTCTTCAGCTTGCCGTAATGAAACCATTAACGTACATAATCCCTAGCTCTTTGCAATGTAAATCTCAAAATAGGATCACTCATTACACTGCCTCAGACACATAGATGTCAACAATGGAGTAATGGAAATCGTCCTTCCATGCACTCCAGATGAAGAACCACATCCCTGTGGCCAACAATGCTTGTTCACAGAAAAAGACAAAGATTCTTTCGACGGGATAGTCACTAGGAGTCAGGGTTTAACTTTCTTGTAGCGTTAACTCTGGAAAATGGTGTCATTACAGCCCTTACTTTATGCACAGCCTTCTTGGAAGTAATAGGTGGCTCTGAAAAGAGCCTTTTGCTAGTCTTCTCTCCAGTATTTTAATCCACTTCCCCACACCTCCTGGAGAGATTACTTGCTTTGGGCCTTATGGTGGCTCTCGGTCTTCTTGGGCAGCAGCACAGCTTGGATGTTGGGCAGGACACCGCCCTGCGCGATGGTCACCCCACCCAGCAGCTTGTTGAGCTCCTCATCATTGCGGACGGCCAGCTGCAGGTGGCGCGGGATGATGCGAGTTTTCTTGTTGTCGCGAGACGCGTTGCCCGCCAGCTCCAGGATCTCTGCGATCAGGTATTCCAGCACAGCTGCCAGGTACACTGGGGATCCAGCTCCAATCCGATCGGCATAGTTCCCTTTCCTCAGCAGACGATGGATTCGCCCCACAGGAAACTGCAAGCCAGCCCGAGAAGACCGGGATTTAGCTTTCGCGCGTGCTTTTTCTCCTTGCTTTCCGCGTCCACACATCCCTAAAAAAAGAAATAGTGAGCCAAATGACTAAACGGAGGCTTCAAGATCGCTGTCAGTTCTATTTATAGTCTGACAGCAGGCTGTGGTTTGCTCTCTGATTGGCTGATGGCTGTCTATCCAATCAGAAAGCCGTACTAGAATCGCCTTATTTGCATATACTAGCTACATGCTAGCCAATCAGATTATGGATGCCCACCACGTGATTTGAGGTTGTGGCTATAAATGCCACCCTTTCCAACCTTGGGTGTTCTGTAACTTATTGGCGGAAAGTTTGAGTGGTGGTGTTGTGACTGCTGTGGAGCTATAATAAAACTATAGTATTAGCTATGTCAGACCTGTCTGCGAAGGGGAATACAATTTCCAAAAAAGGCATTAAGGAAGCTGCCACAGAAACTACAAAGAAGGAGGGCAAAAAGCGTAAAAAGTCCCGCAGAGAGAGCTATTCTATTTTCATTTACAAGGTGTTGAAGCAGGTCCATCTGGCAACTAGTATATCTTCCAAGGCCATGGGGATCATGAATTCATTCGTCACTGACATTTTCAACCATCATCGCCAACGAGGCATCATGTCTAGTGCATTACAACAAGCTCTCTACTATTACTTCCAGGGAGATTCAGACATCTGTGAGCCTACTGCTGTCAGGAGAGCTCGCTAAGCATGCTGTGTCGGAAGGCACCAAGGCTGTCACTAAGTACACCAGTTCCCGGTAAATTGGCCAAGCATACATATCTAACTCAAAGCCTCTTTTCAGAGCTCCTCACAGTAACGAAAAAGCTGTGGGCTCCTTGTACTTACATAAATCAGTCAGGTACTTTAGAAGATTGTTCCATTTCTAAGAATTTATGCAGGTGGAAGATAGCTTTAATGTGTTTGTGGAGAGTTTTTTTAGAAGTAAAGTCTGTCGGGGTCGGTGGCTCAGTTTGTAATCCCAGCATTTTGGGAGGCCGAGATTGAATTTTCTGAGCAGGTGGGTGCAAGACCAGCCCAGGCAACTTGGCAAGACCTCGTCTCTACAGTAAAAGGCAATTAGCTGGGCGTGGTAGCACGCACCTGTAGTTCCGGTTACTTGGAAGGTTGAGGCAGAAGGTTCGCCGGAGTCCAGCAGGTCAACTTTGGCGCGGTCGTTAGTGTGCCACTGCTCTCCAGTCTGGGCTACAGAGTAAAACTCCAACTAAAAAAGAAAGTCCGCAAAATTAATGTGAACCTCTTACTGAAGTCCATTATATTAAAATAGTGCTTCCAAGTTTGGGATTAGATCCTAAAATGCCCACATAATCTGAAATAGCAGAAACTCTTCCAAGGTGGTTTCCTGAAAAGCTAGTTATCCATAGAGATATTTGAGAGAGCAACAGGCATGAGGCTGTGGGGAGGTCTTCACACCTCAGGGAAGTCTGCTTTAGGGAGCATTTAGAGTATTAAGTGAATTGTCTCCTGTGAATCAGCCTAATTACCCCTAAACTGTTGAGATTTCAAGACCAGGGTTTCTTGGCCCTATGTTTTCTACATTTCTTGGGGTCATTGGGCTAAATTTTTCACGGAGATGTTGGCATTGAAATGTGGAGAATTTACCTCTGAAATACTTCACAGTGGAACCCAACAACTTAGCTAACTACAATCAACTGGCAAGCTAGTGACTTCAATTGAAGTTATTCTCACATATATTTTCCTACAAGTTATGGCATTATCATTTATGAGGCAATCATTAAAAGTGTTTGTGTCCTGTTTTACTGGATTACTTGGACTCTTAAGAGTGGACAAGCATTAAAATTTAAGAGCAGACAAGTACTTTAAAAAAGGGAGTGGGGAAGAAGTAACCATACACACAACTGTTAACAAGACACTGATTTAGGGTCCCAGTGCTCTAAGACCCTGGAAAACAACAGATATCACATAGTTCTCAAAACCTGTCAACTTTGTGACCACTCTTAATAAGCTACCCTGATTATCCAAGGATTTAGGATTATTTGGGAAAAAGGTAACTAGGAATGCCAGTCAAAAACAACATCTTTTTAAGGGCCAATGGAACTAGTTCAAATGATAAATAATAATACTAAACAGGATACCCTTAGGCAGAGAAGTTCCATGAGTAGGATGATTCGAGCCCTGGCTCCACTGCCCTTCTTCACACCTTGACTTTACTTCATGTTCATCACAGTTCCAAGTATTCGTACAGATGGGACTAAGTCCAGGCAGGCAGTAAGAGTTTATTCCACTGGGTCTTGAAGTGAGAGCAAGAGACTTCTTAGATTCCTTTCCTCTCAGGTCCATTTTCTAGAGCCAAGCCTCATTCAGGTGCTTCCTGAGCCATTCACCTAAGGAGATCACATGATGGGTGTGGCCCCATCCCTTGCCTTCCTATATACTTGGCATCTTAAAAAGTTAAATGTAATTCTAGTTATTTTGTTGTTATTGTAGATAAGGCATTTTCATATTTTCTAACAGTTTGCTGTTTTATATGAAAGATTACTTGATGTATATAATTTTTATATCCTACTATAACCTTACCAAATTGACTTTTTTTTATTTTATTTTATTTTATTTTGTTTTAGTTAGTTTAGTTTAGTTGTGGGATACACGTGAGTATTTACTATATACGTAAATTTTGTGCCAAGAGATTTGGTCTTCTAACAGGGCTTCTCTCTCCCTGATAGCAGTTCTGGCACCCAGTGTGTAGTTGTCTTCCCCTTATCGTTTCTCTCTCCTCTCTCCTCTCTCCTCTCTCCTCTCTCCTTTCCTCTCCTTTCCTCTTCTCTCCTCTTCTTTTCTCTCTCTCTCTCAGCAGTGTCTGATCGTCTGTTGTTCCCACCTTTGTGCTTATGTGACCAGTGCTCAGGACCCATTTAAAAGTGATAAGTAAGAACATGCAATATTCAGTTTTTGTTTCTATGATAGTTCACTTAGCATGATGATCTCCAGCTACATCCATATTGCAGCACAGAACATGATTTTGATCTTCCTTATGACCATGTAATATTATATCACGTATAAGTAGCACATTTTCTTTAGCCAGTATGCTTTCAATGGGCATCTGCGTTGGTTCCATGGTTTTACTATTGTGAGTTTTGCCGCAATGAACATACGTGTACAGGTGTCTTTTTGGTGGACCGATTTATGTTCCTCTCGGTGTAGTCCCAAAAGTGAGATTACCGGATCATATGGTAGCTCAATCATTAGTTCTTTGAGAAAATGCTACACTGTTTTCCACAAAGACTGAACTAGCTTATAGTCCCACCAACAGCATAAAAAGTGTTCTCTTTTATCAGCAGCCATGCCAACATCTGCTGTTTTTTGACTTTTTAATGATATCCATCCTTCCTGATGTTAGATGATATCTCACTGTAGTTTTTATTTGCATTTCTCCCATGATGAATAAAACATTTTTTCATGTTTTTTGGCTGTTTGGATGTCTGTCTTTGAGAATTGCCCACTCATGTCCTTTGCTCACTTTTAAATGGGCTGTTTGCTTTTTACTTGTCAATTCATTTCAGTTTCTTGTAGATGCTGAATGCTAGGCCTTTTTTGGATGCATCTCTTGCAAATATGTTTTCCCATTCTGTGGGTTGTTTCTTTACTCTCTTGATGGTTATTTTTGCTGTGCAAAAACTTTTTAGTTGGATAAGTTCCCATCTGTCAATCTTAACTTTTGCTGCATTTGCTTATGAGTACTTGGTCATTCATTCATAGCCTACTCTGATGTCCATGGGGGCGTTCCTTAAGTTTTCTCTAAGATTCTTACAGTTTGAGGTTTCACATTTAAGGCATTTTGAATTAATTTTGGTTTATGGAAATAGGTAAGGGTGCAGTTTCATTCTTCTGCATGTGGTCAGTCAGTTTTCCCAGCACCATTTGCTAAATATGGTTTACTTTCCCCAGTGATTGTTTTTGAGGACTTTGTTGAAAACAAGTTGAAATTCCATGGTTTTATTTCCAGATTAGCTGTTCTATTCCAGAGACCTATTCTTTATGTGTCTATTCCTATATCAGTATACCATGCTGTCTTGGTTACTGTAACCTACTAGTAAAGCTTAAAGTCTAGAAGTATGATGCCTCCAGCTTTGTTTCTTTTGCTACAGATTGTTTTAGGTATTTGGGTTCTTTTTTGCTTCCACATGGATTCTTGTATTGTCTTTTTAGGTCTGTGGAAAATGATGCTAGAAACTTTGATAAGAATTGCTTGCATATATAGATTGCCTTGGGTAGATGGATACCTAGATGATACTGATTTCTTCAGTCCATGAGCATGGAGGATGTACTATGTTGAATAAGAAGGGTGAGAGTGCACATCCTTGTCTTGGTCCAGTTCTTAGTGGGGAATGCTTCCGGTGTCTGCCCATTAAGTATGATGTTGGTTGTAGGCTTGTCATAGATGTCTCTTATTATTTTGAGGAATGTTCCTTCAATGCCTAGGTGTTCAAGAGTTTTTATCTGAAGGAATATTGTATTTTACTGAATGCTTTTTTTGCATTTCAGATAAATAATGTGGTTCGTCGTTCTACACCTGTTTATATGATAGCTGGAATTGCATTGCATATGTAGATTGTCTTGGGTAGAACGGATACCTAGATGATACTGATTTCTTCAATCCATGAGTATGGAGGATGTATTTCCATTTGTTTGTGTCATCCTTGATTTACATATGTTGAACCAGTCTTGTATACCAGAAATAAAGGCCACTTCGTCATGATGAATATTTTCGGAAATGTGCTACTGAATGTAGTTTGCTAAAATCTTGAGAAATTTGCATTTATGTTTATTGTGTTTATGTTCATCAGAGAAATTGGCCTGTAGTTTGCTAAAATCTTAAGAAATTTGCATTTATGTTTATTATGCTTATGTTTATCCGAGAAATTGGTCTGTAGTTTCCTTTTCATTTTGAGTCTTTGCCATTTTTGGATATCAGGATGATACTGGCTTCATAGAATGAGGTAGAGAGAATTCCTTCCTCCTCAATTGTCTGGAATACATTCAATAGGATTGGTATCAGCTCTTTTTTGTA